GGTTACTTTCGCCCTTGCAAAAACTCTCAAATTGTTAACATTTAAAAAATTGAAAATTTGATGATTTACAGTACTTTATTTATTCAACATAATAATTCCAAAAAGGATGGGGTTTTACTTGTCATAAGTGTGTTATTTAATTACGTGTAATAAAACTTGCGTATAATTATTACTGACAAATAAATCATTAAAGAGTCAATAGCTGCATCTCAACTCATGATTAATTTCATCACTTGTATTTTTTCTTTTCTTTTGTTGTTAAACAACTTGCTGAATATCCAGCAAAGCACTAATGAGCACTGTGTGTGGCTGCTTTCTCGTTGAACAGTGATAACAAATAAATTTAAGACTGGCTCTAAATTCGCAATTTTCTTAATTAACTTGGGGAAAATAAATCAAACTAGTGACATCCACTGTTCTATGGAAATCTGGTAGGCCTCTGTTTACAGACTTGCTGCGAAAATGGTATCAAACATGTTGGAAAAATTCAAATTAAAAATAATAAGTATTACATGTATTTAAAAAAAAAAGGAATGTAATTTCTTCAAATTAAAATGGTGACAGAACAATAATGATCTTTGAGTTTCGTTCAGCTATTACTCATTTCTGGAATTACATTGAGGGCATTTTGTTATGCAAGGTTCCATAAAAATATATTGCCGTTTATATTTGACATGTTTCAATAATTTGTTTGTATATTTAAAACAAACAAAAAAAAAAAAAATTTTAGCTGTAGACCCTTAGGTAGGGCTTGACACTAAGGGCAGTCCCAAGACTAGGAAATCTTCAATCAGACAACTGAATAAAAACTCACTTGACTTTTATTAACAAAGCTGCAGAATTCACGAGTTTTCTGTTTGTTTTTGACAGTAAAAGCAGGATCTATTTTTTTTACCTGAATGGTCTGTCTGAAGCGGTTCACTTGAAGCTTGTCATTTGTGCCTAAAATGTCACTGCATCCAGTGAGATATTTCACAGTTTGAATGATTTAATATAGTAGTCAACGATGCATCCAAAATGTAGTAATAAAACATGCTTCACTTGTCATCGACTGTGATAGTCAGTTACTTTAAGTTTGCTCACTGATGTGTACTTCAGAGTTTGTACCTTTTCTAAAATGAGAATTGTGCACTGGCCAGAACAAAGACCTCGTAGTGATGTAAATGTTAGATGACTGAGGGGTGAGTGACAAAAAACAAACACGTTTTGCCAAACTGTACTGTACTGTAATACACTTGGGTCTCCTAGAATGCCGCTGACCAAATCTGTCTCTTATCGTAGAAGTCTACCAAACACTTAAAATATGATGGCAATTAAATATATATATATAAAAAGTGAACAAAAAATACTGTGATGTAGCAAATTATTTCTCTTCAGATAAATAGCTTTGTCATTTAATACTATAGGAAAATGTCTTTACAATGCTACATATTGATTCATTGTTTTTAACGTACCCTGGTACATGTACAGTTGTAGCAACTACCACACAAATAAAATTCAATTTCATTAACATATTGCCTGCAGATCTCGGGTTTTCCCTATTCATTTTTAGCTACTGTCAAGGCTTTCAGTAGGCTTATGTGTTAAATGTCAAATGTTTGAGCAAACACTGTTTGGTTTGAGTGGACTTGACTTGTGTATAGTCATGGCAACTAAGTGAAATATAGCTTGTTAAAAATCACGAGATGATTAGCACAACTGAATTCATTACACTGCAGCTGTATTATGCCACTAAAAATTAAATTGGCTGACTTTCTATTTGACATTACACTGTACAAAGATCATCAGAGAAGGCCTTAAATGTAATTTAATTTATTCATTGTTTTATCTCATTACCCCCATGATCTCACATTCTTTTGTATTATAAGCTCGCCCTCTTTTACATTGTTCAAAACTAGATTTCTTTGCTGTATTTAGAACTTATGCTTGTGTTGAAGTAAAAGATGAATTTACCGTTTTGTATGTTAGCAAAAGTGTCATTAGTTCCCTATTACTTCCTTAATGTGTATATAACCTGTTTACTTTGGTTTGTATTTTTAGTAAATGAAAAGCAACAATTATAAGGCTCAAATTGGCTCTGAAGTGAGCAAAGCTTGATGGTTTTAAAATTAACATTTTCAGTGTCCTATACATTTACTGATAATATCAAAATTCAGTGTATAATCAACTTCTCGTGTGTTGGCAGATTGTTTTCTCTTGCAAAAAAAAGGTACATGTAACTATAGCTGTGTGAAAGGTTTTCAGTTCTTTTTTTTACTTCATTGGCTGTTAGGTCGTTACTGATGACTTAAATCACTGTGAAACCTTTCAGAAGTCATATAATCGTCAGTTTATTCATCGGTATTTCTTTGTTGTAATGTTATTCGTTTTAGACTAAGTTAATGGCGTGTAAAGTATGCGTCTAACCACATCATTCCTCTTGCTGATTAATGGAGATTTATATTAAAATGTTTGCTCTTTGCCCCTACATGCTTATTTAAAAAAAAAAAAATGCGATTAAATGTTCATGGTTAAGTGATGTTAGAATAACTTATTATTTTGGAGATGAAATTGAACTAAAAATCAGAATGCGCAACATATTGACACAAGGACTGACGTTACCTTGGTTTGCAATTCATCCAAGAAAAAATTTATTTTTAAAGCTTGTTTATATGGATATCCTACTATAGCGTCAACATTTCATCCAATAGTATTTCTGTTACCATAACAATAATATATTAAACTTTGAACATACATGTATGGAATGTTTTGTGCTAATGGTACTTATATTTTTTTTTGCACTGCGGGGATATTGACCTGTTCATCTTTTTCTGTTGCCGATTAAGAAAGGCTCTTGTTTCCATCAATGCTCGTTACATTTGAATGCATTTTGCTATTCAGTATAGCTCACTACTTTTGAGGGAAACTGTTTTACAGCTTTTATATTAAGGCTCTCCTGGATATTAAATTTTTTTAACTGTGTACTTATTTTGTATAGAACGCATTTCATCCAAAATGAGATATTTTATGAATATTTTTTAGATTGATGATAACAATTGTGCGTATGGTTTTCAAACAGATGTTGTATATGTTGTTTGTATTGTAGTGTGTGTCTGTTTTTTGTGATTTTTATTAGTACACTTACTGCGACGGTTGTCGTATTGTTGGGAACAGAATGCCACGCTTTTTGTTTATTGCATTCAGCATTCTGTTTTTTACGACTGATAACAAT